AGCCCTTCAGATTATTCCTGGAAGTAAAATAGGCGACTGCCCAGATGTAACGGAGTGCTTTGCCCACTGTGCCATGCAAATGGCCGGAGGTCTTGCATCATTATCAAAAGACCACACGATATGCCCCAGAGCGCTGAACTTCTCAATAAATGATGTAATGAGCACTTTCTCTCTTCCACCAGTAGTACAAAAACCGGCTGAACTGATTTTTCCGTTTTGTATAGCCCGAGGGAAAGAACTGGAAACAGTGACTAATAGATCCTCTAGACAGATGTGGACAACGGATAGACTGGTTACATGTAGTAATAGGACATGGTACCCACCAACAGCAGAAGGGAACCTCACCTACCACATTAAGTTTTGTCAAACGAGTCCCAATGCCACCATACGCTGTGAACAAGTAGTACCAGATGGGGGACATGTCATCTATGAGTTCCAACCTTCAAGTGTATCTCAGTATCGAATACTGAGCCTGGCGAGGGGATCTGTCCCCTTAGGTGACATTTTTTGGATGTGCCATAATGAGAGACAAATGTTGGCCACATTACCCCCTCAGTGGGAAGGCATCTGTGCACCAGTAATGCTGACAGGACAACTCAAGTTAATAGTAAATAACCTAATAAGTACAAATGTAACATCTAATGAGATACCCAACCGCGCTAAAAGAAGTACTTTCCCTAAACATGAGTGGAAGAAATCAGATGAGGTATATATTTCTTGGGATCAGATCCCATATGGAGTACCTAAAGACCAGGTTGCCATAGGGAGTGATTGGATAGAAAGCGGAAGAGTGGCTGGTGCGGTGCCAATTTGGGGAACTATTGCCAATGCGCAGTACATAGCTCGAAATAGTAGATGGGTGAATCTCCTATGGTATAATCAACAAAGATTTATAAACTTTACAATAAACGGCCTGGATTTGGTAAAGGAACAATTGCATGCAACTTCACTAATGGTTCTACAACATAGGTTCGTGCTAGAATCCCGCATGGCTGGAGACCAAGGAATATGTGATTATATAGGGGAAGATTGTTGTACTTTAATCCCCATGCACACAGATGTAAATGGTAGCCTCACAGGAGTCCTACAGGAAATGAAACGAATGAGGGATGAACATGTGCTGCAGTCTAATTGGAACACTCAGCTGAAGGGATTCTGGGATTGGTTTCACAAACTTGGAAGGGGAAAATATCTTGAGGCAGCAGGAATGATTTTAGGGGCAGTAATACTGATTATATTGATAGTTGTGTGTTGCATCATACCCCTTGTTCGGGGACTGGTCTCAAGACTTGTTGTAACTGGTCAGTTCCCAGTTGTAGAGATACAATTGGACCAAGAGATATAAAACATAACCATGATCACCTTCCACTCTCACCAGGTACGTGCATTTCTTTAATAACAACAGTGTATATATGTAAATATTTTGCATAACAATGACTTATATACTTACTCACGTAGATATAGCAACTTGCATGCTGAATAATCCATAGATATAAGAGATAATATGCCTTCAGATGATGCCTAAATTTGCCATACTATGTCCCCACAAGTAGATTATTGAACATGGCAGAGGCTAGTTATGATGAATATGAAGAAAACCAAATGAATTTACGAGCTGCACTGGCGTTGTTAGGCCCATCACTAGGGGTAGGATGCCCATATCTTCCTCCCAGGCACCTACTAGATCCTGCAGAGGGGCCAAGCAGTGCACCTTCGGGTTGGAGCAAACCTATGATGACACCCAGCAGGCAGCCTGAGGATCAACCTATGATGACACCCAGCAGGCAGCCTGATGATCAACCACCATTACCTACTGGGAAGCCACTGTCCATCTCGTCATCACCGGGGAACCTCAGTATCGATTTCGGCCCAACCAGCACCTCTGCCAGTCCTGAGAATCCCGAGGATCAACGACCACCGTCACCCCGCCAATGTTATTATCAATTTTGTATATTCTGTTTTCTGCATTTTATCAGTTTAATATTTACTCAGACTCCACTACATCTTATATTACTCACTTCTACTATATGGTGTGTGTTTAATCTCACGTTTGGTTTAGTGTGCACAATATATATATATAAACTTTTATCACTTTTGTGAGTTCACATTTAAGGTGTTTTAGATTAGTTATCACCTGCATAATCACGTAATTGATCATTTTAGGATCAAAGGGGGGAATGTTGTGTATTAATCTGCACTAATCATAAGATAAAATAAAGTTAATGTTTTATAAGTTTAAAGTTGTTTTCCCAAATACTGTTATAAGAGCCATTCAAGGCCAAAAAGGAGAAAAACAGAGCAATGAATGGAGCCATTCAAGGCCAAAAAGGAAAAAAACAGAGCAGTGAGTGTGCACCTGGCCCAGGGGGAGTGAAATCTGCAGGAAAACGCAAGGTTGAGGCCCCATAGTGATAAGAAAGCCCACTCATTAAAAATGAAATATTTGACATCTCAAGGTTGCCCAGCTCAGCAAAATTTGGTTATACAACTTGTGATAAATAGAGTTGTTATTTTCAAGGCACACGGAGCGGTAATGGTCCCAGAAAGGGTGATGCTTTGACTAAGACACGAGGGGGGAGCAGTAGGCCAGACTGACATGGCTTGGAGCAAGGGAAAGATGTGTTCTGACATGTTTGTGACTAAACCGTCATAAGTTTCTGATTTGAATGCACCAGATGTTTTCATGGCCTGAGAGATTGCTCTCACAAGAATGAGATGTGTCTATGAATGTCACCGTGTTTTGCAGATAAATATCAATGTGACCTTTACCAAAGACTGAAATATGTTCTGAAGGGGGTTTTCCACCGATAAGAAATGTATAAAAGGGAGCTGTCTTCACCATTTGTTCAGCTTCGGCTCACCGGTGACCAGCTCAGTGTGAATGTGTTGTGTTTAGCAATAAACACACTGGACCCGGACTCAGCTGCCTCTGCCTAAATTTTTTGATCTTTGTTTGAGACTTTTTCTGCTTTTTAAGAACTTTGAATTTTTATAAAACTTAGCTTCAATTTTAAGTCGTCAAGAAGAGAATTATAGACGACAGGAGCATCTTCTGCAAGTCACAGTTCTCTGCCAAGCCGATCAGCCTGTGGACCGCTCCACAGCCTCTAAGAGAGGCTCACTCAGCATCCACTGACTGTCACTTGCTGCCACCCCGAGAACTCATCAACCGAGCCCTGCCTAACCCTCTACCCAGCAGCCTCCTCCGGCTTAGCAGCCACCTTCCCCACTGCAAGCTCCTGCATTTCCCACCTAAGGACCTCCGCAGCCCCACTCACTCCCCCCGGTGGATTGTTCACGAATAAAGCGGTAAGCCTTTTAGTGCTGTCGTTCTCATCTCTCGCTCCCTTCGTTTACAGACACCCTGAAGAAACACCCAAATGTCATCTTTGGTTGTTTTTTTTTTATCTTAAATCTGTCCTACCTGTCTCATGGTGTTCTTAATGTGGGTCAGAAAACAAGGGACCACAACTGATATTTAGGAGAAGAAAAAGGTCTAGCACTGTGCCTTTAAACTGAAGCTTTCTATGGCAACAAACTGCCACAGGATACAAAGTCTTCATTCAGTTCAAAAATACTTAACTTGAATGTTGTTCCCTAATAGATTGTTTGTTCTTTAAACACGTTTTTCGTAGATGTTGAAAGCTGTTGGCAGGAAGGGTCTTCTGTCTTGCACTGGATCATTGACTGAAGACACCCTGTTTTGGTTTTGTAGTTTTCCGACGATGCTCACTGTTATCTATAATGTTTTCCATTTTATGAGGAATTGCTCCTTGTGAAATCCTCTCCAGGGTTCGGTCATGTCTCTTGCACTGTAACCCCGGCAGATAATGGCAGAGAAGTTCACCCTTTTCACAACAGACTGATAAAAAAGATGCAGCATTTTACTCCAAACACTGAAAGATCTCAACAAGTACAATCTTCTCTGTCCTTTCTTGTAAAGGATTTCATAGTTCACCTCTAGTCTAGTTTGATGTACTACTACAAAATTAGAAAAACTGAACACTTTGCTTGGAGTTTGGAGTTTTTGCATTATACATGTAGTTATATGATTATTTCTAACCTGACAATGCTGACCCTGTTAGTCCCGCCTTTGAAACCAAGCTCTACCAGCTCTTTACCAGACTGATACGCTGTCCATACCACTAGCCTGAAATTGGGTTGATTTGTTATTTTTTTAAGCGTATTGGCCCTTTGACTGACATCTGAGCTGCCTTTCCTAGGCTTCTTGCTAGAGCATTTCAAAGCAATGGCTCACTATGCTGAAATTACGGCAATGCACATCATTTTAAGAATCAGAATGAGAATCAAGTTTATTGCCAAGTAGGTTGTCACTTTGAAGGAATTTGACTTGGTGTTGATGGTGCAGACAAAAAAATATATATATATATATATACAGAATCTATAGCTATATTCACTGTAGGCTTTGCATTAATGTAATGCAGGGGAGATGCTACGTTTGTGTAGCTTCCAGGTCTTAAATGGTGCAGGGAGAGAGGCAGTGTCAGAGTGACGGAGGTCTCTGGGCCATGTTGATAAGGCTAGTAGTGGATGGGAAGAAACTGGTCTTGTGGCCTGAGGTTTTGTGAACCGCAGCCTCCTGCCAGAGTGAAGTGTTAGAAATAGTTTGCAGCTGGGGTGCGAGGGATCAGCCACAATCTTCCCTGCAGGTCTCAGAGTCCTGGAGGAGTACACATCCTGGAGAGATGGAAGATTGCAGCCAATCACCTTCTCTGCAGACCGGATGGCACGCTGCAGCAGTGTTAATCTCATCAGCTTTTTTTTATTAAGTCTTAGTCTTAGTCACAACGACAAAAATCTATTTTAGTCTTTGTCATATTTAGTCATTGCCTTCCCGATTTCATTTTAGTCGTAGTCTAAATGACGAAAATCAATTTTAGTCTTAGTCAAATTTTATAAATTTTTGTCATTTTAGTCAACACTGTTTTTAACATATATATCACACTATACAGAATAAAAATTCTTCACACTGCTTCTCGTTTTCTCTATTTTATTTATATAACACTGCAGAATAGAACTTCTTCACACACTGATTCTCTTTTTAACATATATCCCACTGCACACATTGAACCTTTAGTCGGCTTGTTTCATCATATGCATAAAGTCTTCATCCTCAATGGTCCTTGCAGGCAGACCAGAACACCCATTCCACTTTGCCATTGAGTTCTCCAGGGCTTTCTGCTCTTTGGAGTCAGGGGTGGGGGGGCATCTCTGACCCAGAGTTCCCTTCCTTCCCCAACCTCTGATCTGGCTGTGGCGTCACTGTGTCAGAAATCTAGTTGTGAGGAAGAAATTTAAAGGATTAATATCCAGAGTATCAGTAGAACATCTTTCTTCTATGACAGAGAGACAGATACACACACACATCTACATGTATATGTGTATGCACGCCCGCTCACTCACACACCCATTCCCACTACTACACCACCCATTCCTTACCTTCTTCCATATGGCACCATGTTTTCTTAGATGTCGTTGGACATTCGCTGTGTTCTTCTCTGCCATGTTGAGGCTGCAGACTATTTGGTGGCGTCCTTCCTCCGGTGTTTTCCTTTGCGTTGTAAACTAAATGGCTCCATACATCAATGTGTTGTTTAACAAACCACACACCGGTATCCGCAATGACTGCGGAGTTGAGCTATGAGTGTAAGTCCTCTGCTAGTACTGACTGAGCGGCGAGAGAGACTGTGGGACAGGCGCCGTGTGGGACAAACAAGGCAACAACGCGTAATCTTCTATGAAGTTTAAGAAACACTCATATTAACAATTATAAATTTATTATAAACAATTACATTTCTTAATGTCCATTCATCCATGGATCGTAGATCTAGTCTGTCTTAGTCTCGTTGATGAAAATCCTTTTTTATTTTCGTCATATTTTTATGTTCTGGAATCAATTTTGTGCATTGACGAAATATTTCATCGTTATGGTTGACGAAATTAACACTGCGCTGCATTCTGTCCTTGGCGGTGGCCCCAGCATACCAGATGGAGATGGAGGAGGTGAGGATGGAGGAGGTGATGGAGAAGTAGAAGTGCACCATCATTTGTCCTTGACAGTTTGAATTATTTTTGCTGCCGCAGGAAGTAGATCTTCTGCTGGGCTTTCTTGGTGAGGGAGTTGATGTTCAGCTCCCACTTTAGGTCCTGTGAGATGATCGTTCCCAGGAAGCAGAAATACTCCACAGTGTCAAGAGTGGACTCCCAGAGGGTGATGGAGGTAGCTGGGGGTGAGTTCTTCCTGAAGTCCTCACTATTTTTAGAGCTCCAGGTTGTTCTCCCTGCTCCAGGTCACCAGATGGTCAACCTCCCACCTGCAGGCAGACTCGTCACCATCAGAGATAAGTCCGTTGAGAGGGGTGTCGTCCACGAACTTCAGAAGCTTGACAGACTGATGCCTGGAGGTGCAGCTGTTGGTGTTCAGGGAGAAGAGCAGAGGAGAAAGAACAAATCACTGGATGGAACCAGTGATGATGAGCTGGGAGGAGGAGACATGTTTCCCAGCTTCACCTGCTGCTTCCTGTGAGAAAGGAAGTCTGTCATCCACCTGCAGGTGGAGTCAGGCACACTCAGCTGGGAGAGCTTCTCCTGAATCAGAGCTGAGATGATTAGACTAAAGGCAGAGCTGAATATCAAAAAAAGGATCCTGGCGTAGGTAGCTGTGAAATCCAGGTGCTGGAGGATGTAGTCGAGGGCCATGTTGACGGCATTGTCTGCAGACCCGTTGGCTCTGTAGGCAAACTATAGGGGGTCCAGGAGGGGGCCAGTGATTTCTTTCAGGTGTGAAAGAACAAGATTCTCAAAGGACTTCATAACCACAGAGGTCAGGGCGATTGGTCTAAAGTCATTAAGTCCTGTGGACCTTGGCTTCTTGAGAACAGGAATAATAATGGAGGATTTGAAGCAGGATGGTACGTGACATGTTGAAAGTGAGGTGTTAAAAATTTCCGTCAACACTGGAGACAGCTGAACAATACAGAGCTTCAAGGTAGATGGAGAGACAGAATCTGGTTTGGCAGCTTTCCTGAGGTTCTGTCTTCTGAAGAGTTTATTAACATCTCTCTCATTTATGGAAAGAGATGTCACTGAGGTGGGTGGAGGGAACAATGGGGGGGTGGTTGCAGGACTGTCCTTTTGTCTGTCGAAACAACAGTAGAAGATATTCAGGTCGTTGGCTAAGCGTTGGTTGTTTATTGAGCGGGGGGGGGGGCACTAGACTTCCTCAGAGACGGACCTCCGGGGTCTGGGTCGGACAGAACAGCTCTGATGTCGTCAGTCTAAGCCCCTCCCCTCAGGGCTGCTTCCTGAGCCCCCTGCTGTTCACCCTGATGACACACAACTGTGTCCCCAGGTTCACCACCAATCACATGAGCAGACGACACCAAGGTGGTGGGCTTCATCAGAGACGACATTCATCACAGACACCCTCACCTGGACTGGAAACACCACCTCACGGGTTCAACGGGCCCAGAAGCGCTTGGACTTCCTGTGGAGGATGAGGAGAGCCCATCTGACCCCCCCCCCCCATCCTCCCCACCTTCTCCAGAAGCACCATAGAGGGCGCTCTGAGCAGCTGTCTCACTGTGTGGTGTGGAGGCTGCAGCGCCTCAGACTGGAAGAAGATGAGAACAGCAGAGAGGATCATGGGGGCTCCTCTTCCCTCCATTAAAGACATTTCATCACAGCGCTGAGTGTCCCGAGCCCGTGACATCATCAATGACCCCTCACCCCCCCACCATGGACTGTTCTCCCTGCTGCCCTCTGGGAAGAGGCTTCACAGCATTCAATGCAGGACCAGCAGGTTCTGCAGCAGCTTCTTCCCCACCGCCATCACACTGATGAACTGTTGAGAAAAATCTAAAGACTTTAAAGACTCTGCATCACACTGATAACACCAAACCAAAACTCTGCACCATATATATTAATGCTCTGAACTTTCATATCAATGCATTTTTTGTACCTGTAACTGGGAGCCATGGTCCTCTGAGCAAAACATTTAAACTATGTTTTCTTAAGCTTCTTGCATTACAGTAATAACTTGTGTAAATGAATAATCTATTGCCGTTTTTTGCTGAAAAAGCTCCATATGTCAAACCAAAAGATTTTTTGGTGGCATCTCACTTTTTTTTTAACCAACCCTTCTCCTAACTTTTATTTAAACATATATTGAAGTATCTGCTGGTTAAAATCACTGAGTGCTGCTTTCTGTCTCTGCTCCAACCAAGCTACTATGTGCATGAATAGCGAATAGGGACCCCAATAATATAATGTCCCAAAGTGAGAGATCCAGTGATATTACACCGATATGCAGGACACAAGAGCAGCAGGAAAGAAGAAAAAAACAAAGATAGCTGCACCCAACCCTAGTTACTGTTGGCTAAAGTAAATCAGCACAAAGGAGGGAAATTATTGGTGGGATTATTGGGGGTCATGTTCACAAGAGTCCTTCAGAAACATACTGTCTGTGCTTTAAAGTACAAAATAAACTAACCAATGACACCAAATGTGTGACTTTGTGAACAACTCAGATCTGATCAATGCAACCCAGATCATTTGGTTCTGTGGTCTTGAATTCGATACGAATCTGATCTTTTCAAATGGGACCTGTGTCTGCACAGTAAGGTCGCATTCATCCGACCTGAACGCCATTAAAAACCGACAAAGGTCACTATTCAGCATTGTGCTACACAGAAGCGGCAAGAAAAGCAACAACCATGGTGGACAATTATGCAGAGTATTTATATTGAAAAGATTGTGTTTTTTGAGGTTGGGAAAGATGGCTAAATGTGCTCTGACACTAACATCCATGTTTACTTCTGTAAACACAGAGCACGCTGGCTTGTGACGCCATTGCGTCCTCTACATGATGGACGCTTGCATTGTATGAATGCAGTTCCCACAGGGGATCGCATACAAGTCGCATATATTTGGAAATGTGAACGGTGAAGCAAAAAAAAATCCACAAGAAATCGTAATTAAGCATTAAGGCCTACAGTGTGAACGTAGCTTTAGGTCCCCATCGCTCATGCACTCACCCCTCAAGCTTTTTTTTCTCTGTCATAGACAGTCACCCTGCAAAGAGTGGAGGGGTAGAGTGTTCAGGTTTGGAAGGATTCCCAAACGGCTGGTGTGCCAAGCTGAGACCAAACCAGCTGATTACTGCTACGTCTCACTGGATAGATTGGCTAGTTTTTAATAGTAAGGAAGGATTTGAAATCCACCCCCTAAGATGCAAAACAAGAAGAAAGGAGATGGGAGTGGCCTTTATTGACAGAGTAGCACCAAACACCTTTTAGAACTGGTTGAGGTTGACTCTATCCACTTCAACCAACTCTTTAGTTTATATTTGCAGGTTGTCTCCACAGGTGCTCATTTAGATATTGTTAAAAATCTAAATCAGCATACTTGACCACACTGAGAGTTTGGGAAACACATATTTATTTTGGGAAGCAGTGGACATTTATGCTATTTATGCTAGGTAAATAACATTTTATGATTAAGCCTACCTAATGAATATACAGTTACGTAGTAAAAGCAAGAGTCAGATAAAAGAGTATTGAAGGATTAAAAGTTCTTACCATTGCTTTTTTCACTGTCAGCTGGCTTCATCTGGATTGGGTGATGCATCTGAAAACGTAACAAACAAAAATGTGCTCATTAAAGAGTCATTTGATAGTAAGCTTTTATCCAAAGTTCAAGCAAACTGTAAACATGTAAAGCCCAAACTCCACAAGCTCTTGTCCATCTCGGGTCAGTTGCAGACCGCCTCGTTCTTTGAAATAAACTCTGGAACATTGGGGCGGGACCAAATGGACTGGAGCAGGACCAAAAATTGGACTTACTCTGACTTGACCCAGAAAACTCAAAGTCATATGCCTAACACCATTCCTTCTTTGTATGAACATTTGTCTGCTCCCCCAAAAATAAAAGATTCTCCTAGAGTTCTTAGTATTCTGCCTTAGAAAGAGATATGATGTTTAGTCTACATTTGGTCTTTGCTGTTTGCTTTGCTAGCCAAAGTATTCTAATAAAAACTTAAAAAAAAAAATGAAATGTTAGATAAATGGACATTGGATTTATGTAGTCAGCTTTTCGTTAAGTTTTCTGACGATTGTAAAACAGTCTTATGCATGGTGATGGATAAGATCTAAGGGGGTCTTCAACCTTTATCTGCAGTAAAACTCATTTTAAAAACAAAATCATGGAGATTATGGTTAGCTGCTGAATGAAATAAACTGGTTTAGTCCAGTTTGGCAAGCATAAATAACTGGATGTGGTAGATTGGAAACAGATTGTTTGTGTGACTTTTCTGAAAAAGGTTCCAAAAAGGTTAGTGATTTGTTTTTTTATAAACCAAATACCTGGAGTTTTGTTTTATTTTTTTCCAAATTTGAAGAAGTTTTGTTTCCCATCCAGGAAGCTTTTTTAATTCAAATGTCTGGATTAGAGTTGAGTTCCAAGCTTTATAGAGAAGCCCAACAAAGCCTTGTTATGGCTTAGAAAACATGAAGAACAGGTCCACCACTTAGTAATGGGGAGTCTTTGAGTTCTTTGTTAGCCTGCAATATCTGATACTGGTCTATGCCTCTGAAATACCAGGTAAGATGTTTTGGACCCCTGCATGGCGACAAGGATTGAGACGATAGCAGGAAGGAATCAACTCTGCATTGTAGGTTTTTGAGGGGTGAGATCTGAGTCCACCCCCACGGAATAATGTTTTTTTTTCTTTCTTAACATAGATGGCTTCCTTTACACCCCTCTCAAACCACCTGTCTTCTTTATCCAAAATGTGAATATTCTGGTCCTCAAAAGAATGTCCATTGTCCATAAGGTGTAGATGGACATGCAAGTCTTGTCCAGATGAGGTAGCCCATCTATGTTAAAGTGATGGAGCTGCTGGGTGACCCAGGACGGAGGGGAAGATTTTCTACACAGTATGGACCTGGAAATCCTCCAGCAGAAACTGTTTGCAAACTACAGGTACTCAGAGATTCACTTCCACACAGAAAGTCCATATTCTGATCTTCAGGTAACACAGATTACATGTCAGACTTAACAATACTACTTATACTTCAGCATCTAGGTGTTACTTTATTGTATATCTTGTACCGTGTCTGCTGGTTGTGCTGTTCTTTTTATATCTCTTTGCAGGTGATAAAGCAGACTGAAAATGTTTTATCATTTTCTCCCTTTTATCTCCTCTTTCTTTCATCTTTTCTCCTTTTTTTCTGTTTTTCCTTTCCTGTTCTACTTACATTGCAGTGTCCATAAAATCTGTAATACTCCCTGCATAATTATAATAAAGGTATTTATATGCATAAATCAAGGGGAACACTATGGCAATAGCCGTACTGCTCCACTTGTGAAAGTAAAATCTATTGGGCTCTCTTTTTGCCATCAAAACTTATTGCCATATTGCAAGGGCGTAGGTTTGATTTCAACTTTGGTAGGGACACTATTCTTCAGTTTCATTGGTCCTTTGCAAAAAATATGCATGCTCTTTTTTATGCTTAATGTGAGCTTCAGGGCTCATTTTGTTTAAAGAGAACAGCAGCATTTCTTGCTACATTAATACAAATCTTATAAGCACTACATGCACTAGATGCTGTTTATCAATATTTAAAGCATGACTGGCTCTGATGAATGTGGAATTAGGACTTTTTCCACTTTGAAAAGGATTGCATTCAAATTTACCTGCGACTAAGACAGTGTCTGTTTAACTAAATATAGTCTATAATATGTGGATTTATCCTGTGTTTTCTTCTGAAGATATAGAATTGTGCAGAGGTAAACCCCACTCTTATTTTTTTTATCTAATATGCTCTCTCTGGATCATGCAAAATAATACATTCAAGGGACAGAAAATAAATGTATTGTATTTACATGTGCACTGGAACTAGAAGAGGAACTGACTCTGAGCATTTAAAATATTAATATTAGAAGTTGTACATCTGGGCTGTAGTTACTCTGTATAGCTAATTTCATGTATTTTATCTATGTCTGAAACAATTAATCATATTAACAAATTATTTAAATAATCGTGAATTAATTTAGTAATTGATTAATCGTAAACTGGAGTATAGGGCCACTAAAATGTGCCTTTAGCCGACAGAGCGACCCACTTAGAGCAGGAATTATACCAAGATTGTAAAAAAAATATGTAAAAATTTAGCATTTAGGAAGTAAATGAAAAAAAAAAGGTTTTTGTCTGTCAATATTCTCCATCCAGAACTCCTCCAAAGGAAACGTTTAAACGTTTCTGTTTCAACTGGTTTCATTTCATAATAGATCTTCTTTAAGGAGCCTTTAGCTATCTGATTAAAAGATAAAATAAAAGAAATCCTAACGTTGTTAACTTACATTTCTCAAGTCAACAAATCAAAAAACTCTCTCCTGCTTCTTTACAGAAATCCAGTTGGAAGCTTTCGCCTGTTTTAGCGTAGATAATAATTTTTTTTATTTGGACTAGTTTAATAGCCCAATATTAATTTATTTTAGCGTCTTTTTTTCGCGTTCCAAGCACCCGCGCGCGCACATACAGACTAGAAAACACGCAATCAGAAAGAGAGAAGGCGGAACTTAAGGCAGAATAATCAGAGAGTTAAACCGCGCAGCACAGTTGATGCGCTGCTATGTGAAGGGACAGGAAATAGCAGGCAGCTGCAGCTACCAGGCAGAGAAGCTGCGAGAGGAAAAGAAGCGGCTGCTGCATAGTAAATTATAAACATGTTGTTTACATCCAATTATTGGTAGGGACAAATAGGTCCTTCCAAAATTTTGGCAGGGACATGTCCCTATGGTCCCTATGCAAACCTACACCCATGCCATATTGTATGATGGCAACCAGAGGCAGAAAGCTGAAGCAAATAAAAATAGCTGTGCCAGTTTTATGTCAATTCAGTTTATTTCTATAGCTCCAATTCACATCATGTCATCTCAGGTCACTTTCCAGTTCAGCAGATCATCCAGTCAGATGGATTCAAAGTTTTCTATCTAAGGAAAACCAGCTGATTGCATTGAATCATTCACTCGAATGCAATCCCAGCATTCAGCTGAAACAATACCACTATTTCTTTTGCGAAAAACAAGCAAAAAGACAAATTTTTTATGGGTGGGAAGATGTTTGTACATTCCAACAGTACACCGGTACATGGCAAACGTGTGCTTTCTTTTCTGGTGTTGTGGGAGTGCCGTCAACTGGGAGAATGTGGCTGACATAATCATGGACTGATTGGGAGGGACCATCTGGAGTTCCACTGTGGGGGGAAACCATGGACTCCACATTTTAAATATGTTGCATAATTTATTCTTCTTGCTTTTGTGATTTGCTCATTTTGTTAATTTGTTTAATAATTATCATTTAGCTTTAATCCTTAAACTAACTGTTTAGTTATTTTTGTTAAATTGGTGTAGATGGTCTCCCTACCTCTTCTTTAGTGTGTCAGGCTGGTCTGATCAGCCAGCATTTAAGTCCCCTTTGTTTGCTGTTTGTCAGGTCAGTTTTGTTTGTTCAGTTAGTTTGAAGTTTGATACGTTTCAGCTTGATATTTTTTGCCCTTAGTTAGTCTCTTCATTTGACCTCTTTGTTTGGATTATTGCTAATTTGGGGAAATAAACCCAGTTTTTCTTGACAATCACCCCTGTGTCCTCATGCTTGGCTGGCTTGGTCCCTCACAGACTTACATCCAACAACATCTACATTTGGTTGAAAAGCGAAAGGTGAAAACCCATAACTTTCAAGTTGTCAAAAAGACATTGAAAACTTGGTTTGTAACATCTTTTCAACGTCTGTTATTGGACTAAACTGAACATCGGAGGCAGGTTCCCAATCAGTGATAGAATTCTGCTCAATATCTCTCCCTTTTTTTTTTTTTTTACAGTGCACCGCATCTTACTGTCTCTGCTGGCAAGATGTATTTTTGGGAGTTTGTAAATTTCCAAATCTGAGCATTCAGGGCCAGATCATTATTTGTCTTTCTGTTTGCCTGTTTGTTATGTTGATTCCAAGGTTCATGTCCTGGATCCTGGCGGCCAGTGGAAGGAGGGTTTTGTGTCTATCTTGTCTCCTGCTCGTCCACTGTTCCTTTCCTGCTAAGCCCTCTGGGTTTTTGCCCCTGTATGCAGGGAGGTTCAGTTTTTATCCAAGTAAACCTGACACCAACTTGGAGACCAGTTTAAAGGTCCCGCATCAAGTTCTGGTTCCACGTCTTGTCTTGGCTACCTTCTTCCACTGAGCCCCCCCCCGTCTGCACCTGATCCTGTCCGCTCCTGTGTGTTACCACCTGGTCATGCTTCGGACTCTGTTGGACTCTGAACCTGTCTGGGAGCTCTACGAGGACTGGATCCTGTCTCCTGTCTGTTCTGAATACCTGACAAGGATCGGCCTCCTATAAGACCTCTGGAACTGCAGCACTGGGGACATTCTTGGACTGGACTTTTAAACCAGGTAAGTGACCAACTCAGATAATTATCTTCTGTCAGATGATCATGGTCACTTACCTGTGTTTCTCCCACAACAGAGTGTCTGTGATTGGGCAGTGCCCCGCCCCCCACCTGCAGTCGCCGCATGCCACAGATCCTAGCAGCTCCCCCTTTAGTTTTGTTTTTCTTTAAATAAAAATTTTGAA